CCAGGCGATTCTTGAATATCTCCATCGCTTAGCTCCTGCTCTCCAGGTGCAGCCCTCGTGCCAGCAGCAGGAGGCAGGCGAAGCCAGCAGAGGTTCCCCAGGCCGGGGTCCATGGAGTCGGGGGACTGCTCCCGAGGGGGCAGAGCATCAGTGTTTCCCAATGCTCGGTGGGCCGCAGAGCCTGGGAGGCCACTGCCTGTCTGAGCAGAGAAGACGGAGACTTGGCTGCTGCCCTGGGAGCTTCCGAGGCCGTCCTCTCTGCCACGGTCCCTCAGGGCTTGCACGGTGTTTGAATCGGCAGAGCCCTGCTGGACACAGTACTTGGAGCGGAGGTGAGACCACAGCGTCTCCCCTGGAAAGCGGAGAGAAGAACGAGTGATGGGGCAGAAAGCATCCCTGGTCCCCCCGCTGCGGACACGGCCCATTCAGGCACAGGCCAAGGCTTGCACGCTGGGGACATGACCGAGCAGCATTAATCTCCCCAGCAAAGCTCAAGTCCATGCAGACTACTCCCCAGCCCTACAAGCACCATGCTCAACACCACACCTTCTGCGGGACCTGTCACATCAAAGTCTCACTCCCCCCCCCCTTCTTTAGCAGCCCTGCTCCCTCTTCTGCACGGTCTCCTTGATCCCAGCTCTGCCACTTCCACGTCACAGGCCAGCCACATCTTCACACATGCCCTTGATCCTACCGCCATCCCCATTTCGCCTGAAAGCCTTTCCTCCTCGCCTGACAGCGATTCTAGAGAGCTCCTGCCACATGGCACAGAGCCCGTGGGTCAGCAGTGAGTCAGAGCAGTGAGCCCTGGAGCCCACGGCACACTGCTCGGGCTTCCCAACCTCACCACCTCAGCCGCCGGCTGCTTTCTGCAAATTCATCCTACAGCAATGCACAAGGAGCTGAGGCTGCTCTCCAACACACGTCAGCCTTCCTTTGCCACTGCTGGACTCCAGCTGCTGCTCCCTACGCATCCGTGCAATGAGCAGAGAGCGAAGAAGCCCCTTGGAACAAACCTCCACCTTGTCATGCTTCTTCACCAGGATCTGGGACAAGCCCCAAGCTTGCCTCCTTGCTGTACCCAAACCCCAATGTGCTCCTTGCCCTTTATGGCCTGATTTTCCATCTCCTCTCTTTGGTCTGATCTCAAAATCCAGCGTGGCCTCTTCTTTTGTAACCAAAAAATGTTTTAGAAAGGTCTTATCAAAAGATTATTTTGTTCTACCACATCTAGGTGAACTCCTTCACTTGGTTCTCCTTCTCCATCGCCTTTCTGTCACAGACAAACAGTGCCACTAAAATGAAGAGTTTCTTCTTTTTTCAAGGCACTGGACCACCTCAACCTCTTTACCTCAAGGCATGACCGTTCCCTCCCATGGGACTCAGTGCTCCCCAAGGCTAGTTTCCATATAACATCTCTACAAACACGACCTCTTTCTCCTTGTAGGTCTCCACAGGCCCGTTTCTAGGTTAATTCCCCAGTCAGCTCCTACCAAACCTGCAGAAGCCCCAACACAGCTGAGCAGCTCCTTCCACAAAGTCTCCAAGCCCTGATACCCATCACCCTTCTATGAAGAAGACAGGTTGTGCTGTCACCATAAAAACCAGTTCCAAAACAGCAGAAGAAACATATTTGAGACTTTAAAGTAAGGGAGGCTGGGGATAAGAGCAGGATGCTCCACAGATGGGAGGCAATGCTGTCCCTACTCACCCTGCACGTGCTCCAGGTGGAGGAAGATGGAGTCCTCACTCACATAGTAGCACAGCAGCTTGACCATGAAGGGAACCCCATGAGGGATGATGGTCTGTCGCTCACGGGTCTCAACGTGGGATTTGGGGAGACTCTGAGGAGGCACAGGTAGATGGACGTTACAGCACAGTAGAGGCTTGGAGTCCCTGCAGCCTAGCACCCGGCAGGGCAGGAGGCCAGCCGGAAGGGCAGCGTGCCATCTTCTAAGCCCCCCCAGCACGCAGCTGTGACAAGGCAGGGCTCTGCACAGCTCTGCCAAGGCAGAGCACTCCCCACCTGCACTGCAGGACCTAAAGGACAGCGCTGGTCCAGAGCAGCGGCCTTGCCCCACAACTGCCCCTACCTCCTTCAGACGGGAAGCTGCCATCCCAGCCCTCTCTCCTCCCCACTCTGGAACTGATGCTTCTCCCTGTCATGCCAGAGCCTCCTTGTCCAATTATTAAAGTCCTTTGTTTTTAATTCCAAGGGCACTGGAAAATGCCCTAGGACTTGTACTGATCACACCTCACCCACCACCGGTTTCAGGGGTTGACCCAGACTAACAGGGGCATGTGGCTTGGCCTGCAGCATTACAAGGCAGAGGAACGGAAGACCGAGGAGAACCACATCCCTTTCACTCACAGAACATGCCTGAGGCACCCAGAAGAAGCTTTATGAGCAATGAACTTCCCCTAACACTTCTGCGATCTGCTATTTTTTGGTCCTCTCACCCGCCCCAGCCATCTGCTTGGACAAGGAGGCTCTGGCATGACAGGGAGAAGCAGGGAGATGAAACTGAAAACACTCACCTTAAGTATAAAGGTCCCACCAGTGGCCGGATCCTGGACGACCTGCACCTGGGAGCAGCACATACAGCACGGATCAGAGTGGGTGACGGCTGCCGCCCTGACACACAGCCCATGGGAATGCCCCAGGGACTCTGCAACAACAAGCTCCCACCCAACTAGAGGAGTCCGGCGGTGCTCAACCCCCTACTCTTGAAAGACGAAACACAGGCTATTAGCAACGAGACAGCGCCAGAGCCAGGGAGTGCAGAGTTAGTTAAAGAAAGAGATGACTCCCACACCATTTTTGCTTCCTTCTCAACGAAGGGTTTCGCATTGCTCCTTCTGTGGGGTGCGTGGGGTTGCCCACCATGGCCTCAGTGGGACAGGAGGACCACAGCAGTCCTGACAAACAGAGATGTGTGACCGGCAGAGGAGAGCAATCTGCCAGTGTGCGTATGGAGATGGTAAGCCATCTTCACTCTGAGATCAAGAACTACTAATTAGTTAACTCCTCTGTATAACTAGTCTTCTGCTGAAGTCTAGGTTATCCACAGGAGTCCACCATCATGGTACCTAGGCATCAGTCACGATTCCATGCGTGGGAAAGAACCAGATGCATCAACCTCCTTGTAGGGAGGTCTTGTCAGCAAAAGGAATGGGGACATTAAAAGATTTCCCAACTAAACCCTAAAGGGACTTGCAACCTCGCCTGCGAATTTTCCATGGTGGGAACATGTCCTGGGTTCGGCCAGGACAGGGTTAATTTTCACCAGGAGCCAGGAGGGAACACAGCCAGGGGGGTTGACCCAACCTGGCCAACCACAGCAGGGAATTCCATACCATGTGCCTTCATGCTGGGTTCTGGCTGGGGGAAGCTGGGCGGTGGGAAGGCAGTTGCAGCTCAGGAGCGCGGGAGCGCATGGCAGCGGCGGGTGGTGAGAGTTGCTCTCTGTGTTCTGCTGTTTTGTGTTGTGTTTTCTCCTCATCTGTATCGTTGTTGTTCCTGTTCCCTCTGTTTGCTGTTCTGTTAAACTGCCCTTATCCCCACCCACCAGTTTC